CGTCGCCGCGCCCGTCGCCGACGCGGGCCAGTTGGTCGAGACGGTCGCGAACGTCGGCGTGCCCTTGCTCCTCCTCGGCGGCCTCTTCTTCCTCTTCCGCGGCGGCGGCCAGGGCGGCGGCCCCATGGGCGGCGGCGACGGCCCCATGGGCATGCTCCAGAGCCGCGCGAAGATCGAGGTCGAGCCGGAGACGGGCGTGACCTTCGCGGACGTCGCGGGCTGCGACGCGTCCAAGTTGGAGCTCGAGGAGGTCGTCGAGTTCCTCAAGTCGCCCGACAAGTTCGAGGCCGTGGGCGCCCAGTGCCCGCGCGGCGTCATCCTCGAGGGCCCGCCGGGCACGGGCAAGACGCTCCTGGCCCGCGCCGTCGCGGGCGAGGCCGGCGTGCCGTTCATCTCGACGTCGGGCTCCGAGTTCGTCGAGATGTTCGTCGGCGTCGGCGCGAGCCGCATCCGGTCCATGTTCGGCGACGCGAAGAAGAACGCGCCCTGCATCATCTTCATCGACGAGATCGACGCCATCGGCCGCCAGCGCGCGTCCGGCGGCGGCTTCCAGGGCGGCAACGACCAGGGCAGCAAAAGGGTGATTCAACGTCGCTTCAACGTGAGTGTTCCGCGCGCGCGCGTTTCGAAAACAGCACCCACGCTTCGAGAGCGCTCCGAGAGATGATCGCTCGTCCAAAAATCAGCCGAAACGAGCAAAAAACGACCGAGATAGGAGCCTTTGAAGTTGGGAATTTCGCACCCTTTTCCTGCCCAGGCAACGACGAGCGCGAGCAGACGCTGAACCAGATCCTCACGGAGATGGACGGCTTCTCCGGCAACTCGGGCGTCATCGTCATCGCGGCCACGAACCGCGTCGACATCCTCGACCAGGCGCTCATGCGCCCGGGCCGCTTCGACCGCAACGTGCCCGTGCAATTGGCGGACAAGGCCGGGCGCGCGGAGATCCTCAAGGTCCACGTCCGCGACAAGCCCCTGGCGCCCGAGGTCGACATCGACACCGTCGCCGGCCGCACCATCGGCTTCTCCGGCGCCCAGCTCCAGAATTTGATGAACGAGGCCGCGATCTTCGCGGTCCGCCGCGACGGCGACGTCATCGAGATGCGGGACGTCGAATCCGCGCTCGACCGGTTGACCGTGGGCCAGGCCAAGCAGACGGGCACGAACAACAAGAAGCGCCAGGAGCTCGTCGCCTACCACGAGGCGGGCCACGCCATCATGGCCGCCATGACGCCCGGCTACGACGCCGTCGCCAAGGTGACCATCGTGCCCCGGTCGAACGGCGCGGGCGGCTTCACGCTCTTCACGCCCAACGAGGACCGCGCCGAGTCCGGCATGTACTCCTTCTCCTTCCTCAACGCCCAGCTCGCCGTCGCGCTGGGCGGCCGCGTCGCCG